GATTTTATGATCATCCCATGACTTAATCCTTAGACTTCTCATGCTTTTCTTTCCTTTGAGCCAGGACCGCTCAGCACAGACAGCTCCTGGCAGCTACAGCTTCTGCTTCCTTGGGCCTGACGCCTTCAAACACTCAGCCCTTCAGTGCAGGAAGAGTGTTGTTATTTTGAGAGAAAGGAGATGAGGCATTTTATTCAGTTAAGCAGTTTGGATTAGCCGACTGTCTCCAGACATGAACTTTGATGGAACAGAGGCAAGCAGAGACTTGGTGGTCTTTATTTCATTGACTTAATTTTTTTCCCAGCTAGATATCAATGAATAATCAGTGGGAATTTCCACTGTTTCTTGGGACAGTTTAAAAAAATGTTTTTAACAACGTATTTTTTCAAAATGTGTATGCTCCTTCACAATCCGGTGGGATTTGCTCTCAGTGGCCACAAGGATTGGTGAACCACACCCAGCCCTACTGGGCCTGGTTTTGCAAATCCTACAGTGAGAACAGAGTCTGTCTCGTTGGGACTGGTGAGGGCTGCCTGGGGCCATATACAGCATGGCCGAGCGGTCACCAGAGATGCCACTGAGTGCTCAAAGCCACGAGTACGCATTGTCATCACCATCACAAGAAGAAGCAGGCTGAGGCTGTGAAGGTGGCTCAGTGGTAGAGCTCTTGCTTTGCATGCATGAGGCCCTGGGTTCAATTCCTCAGCACCACATAAGAAAAAAGAAAAAAGCCGGAAGTGGTGCTGTGGCTCAAGTGGTAGAGCACTAGCCTTGAGCTGAAGAGCTGAGGGACAGCGCCCAGGCCCAGAGTTCAGGCCCCATGACCGGACCCCCAAAAAAAAAAACAAGAAGAAGCAGGCTGGCCTCCTCACGCTCATCTTGTTTCAAGCTCCATCCTTTTTAAGAAAGAAAGGAATTCACTAGCCTCTGAGAAATCTGTCTCAGCAATACATGACTCAGCCTGGCCAGCCTGGAGTGAGGGCATCATAACGCAGCTTGACGGCATAATTCCAGTGACAGTGCTTCCCAGAATTAGTGACAAGAGGGGCGTTCGCTACTTGGCTGGGTGACTGTGTACTGGGTCCTGACCTCTCCAGATGAGATTTCCTGTCACCAAGACAAAACGCTTACAAGTTCATGTTCATGAAGCACGCCTGTTCATGACAACCATGTGTCGAGTACACCCTCAGAGTTTGAGGGGACTGGTCCCAAGGTGCCCTCCTGGGTACCGGCACCCAGGGTGCTCCCATCCCTCATGTGAAAGAGCAGAGCACTCCGTGTAAGCCACACACACTGCTCTTACATGGCAAATTCATCTCCCCATTGCCGATAGCATCCCATACATCTTGATCTGCAGTTGTTTGGATCCATAGGTGTAAGTCTGTGGACACAGAGTGCCAGTAAGCGCCTGTGTGTTATGGATGTACATGGAACATACGTGGAATTTAAAAAGAAATAGCAAGACACAGCAGAATAATTGTAAAAATACCTTCTTTTTTTCTCATCTTCCAGCTTAGCAAATCTCTCTGAAACCCCTCTGTGTGCTTTTGCCTTCCTACTTCCTCCCAGAGGGCGGTGAAGAACGCTGCTGAGCAGGGCCGGCTAGGGGAGTTAACTCCGTGCTTCGTAGGGGGGCTTCGCATGAGTAAGAGGCCGGGATGGAGCCAATCTGCAGCCTGAAGGCTTAAACTTGGCTTCTAGAACAGAAATCAGTGTGTTCATTTTTTATTGTAGGCCTGCCTGCCTGCCTGACTCCTCCCTCCCTCCCTCCCTTTAACTCTCCCTCCCTTCATCTGCCTGTTTCTTCCTTCCCTCTCTCCTTCTTTATTTTGTGGCTTAAAACAGACTAGATTTTGGGAGAAGGGCTTTTCTGAGGCTTAAAAACAATCTGTAATTACACTTTAAAGGCTGTGTACTTGCATCTAATGTGCACCGAGCCTTAGGTTTTAGCGCTCAGTATATAGGGAGCATTCATACTCATGGGTGTGCTTCCAAAAATAAATTAGCTGTAGAGAATGTTAATCGGCCCATCCCCAGGGACCGCAGTGAGTGTCCTCATTGTCGGGTGAGGAAATGAACATGACAGTTAGTGGTTTGCCCAAAGCCACCCTGTCATGGGCTTCACAGAGATGTAAGCGGTGATTCTGCTTAGAAGAAAAAACCCATGTTTTCATGTAAGACACTGTGGGCCTTAGTCAAATTGACCTAAATTAAGACCCAGGGTGTGTGGAAGAGTTACCACATTAACCTCTAGAAAGAGCTAGCTTGTTTCTTAAAGTTAACCGTGGGTTTTAAATAGGACTTGGGTTTGGGTTTTTTGTTGTTGTTTTTGTTTGTTTTGGGGTTTTTTTTGAGTCTGTTTTGCTTAAAATCAAAAGTTCTGCTCTGACGAAACACCACTACGAACATTTAATGTCTGCTGGCTCAGGTTTTCCTCACACCACCCGGGCAGATGGTGTAAGAGGTACAGTGATGCGTCGGCTTGGTGCATGACTATTTTCTTATAGCAGTCTCCTTTTACTGTTGGTGAGAAAGGAGCCTTCTCCTCGGAGCTTAGGTGTTTGGAAACAATTTTCAGGTCTCTGATGTAGGATGCAAACATAAGCATCTGCCTCAGTAGAATTGCCATGGCAAAGTAAGGACTTAGGCAGAGGGACCCCCAGCTCATCCATGTTCGGAAAAACATGCGTGTGTAATTAATTGTTCTTGTTTTCTTAGGCAGAAATTCATTTTATAAATATTTTCCTCAACAACTGAATTGCAAAATGAACCAAAACTAAACAAGCTCTTCTTTATTCACCTTGTTTCTTCTCTTCCCTAAATCTCACATGGGAACGGGACCCTATTTATTTTAAATATGTGTGTCCCAGTACTGGGCTTTGACCTCAGGGTTAGGGTACCCTCCCTGAGTTTCTTTGCTCACAGCTGGCGCTCTACAATACAGTTCCACTTCTGGCTTTTTGGTGGTTAGTAGAGATGAGTCTCTTGGAGTTGTCTGCCCAGGATGGCTTCACACTGGGATTCTCAGAGCTCAGTCTCCTGAATAGCTAGGATTACAGATGTGAGCCACCAGCACCCGGCTCATTTTTTAAAAAGACATTGTTAATAACCCTGTATCAGGTAATATGAATGTGGCCTCATTCAAAGACATGACATTGTGATTCACCACTGATTCCAAATACCACAGCTCTTCATACTACTTGCATCTGCATTGTGTATTAATTCAGGCAAAGTCAGCTTGTAGTCGCAGAGGGAAGCAACAAAGCCGTAGCCACCAAAGAGCACTACTTAAGAGAGAGGTTCATGCCAGGGGTTTATCTGACTTTGTGGATCCTGAGATGAGATTTTGGCATTGTACCCTATGTTCCTTGGATTTGAAGACCACAGGCATGTGCACATAGATATCACACACACACACACACACACACACACACACACACACACACAGAGTGAATAACAAGTCAGAACAAAAATACACTAAGCAGTCAGTCCCTCACTTGTCCATAGTTTTTCTTTTCATGTTTTTGGTTACTGGTAGCAAAGTCTAAACATATGAAAGGAAATTTGCAGCATCATGAAGAGTAGCCGGGTGAAGTCTGCTGTCCTCTCCTACGCTCCCCCGACTGGAATGCCCTCGGGTTGTCGATCCGTAGGGTGCAGCTCATACCTGCCCTGCTTGTCAATGGGGCACAGTGCTTGTGTCTAGATAATCCTCATTTTACTTAGTGATGATCGCAGCATTAAGAGTGGTAATGCCGACAATTCACACCATGCAAAAGAGAAGTCATAAAAGGCAAAAGTTCTCAATAACAAATGAAAAGTCATATGCTGAGTTGGCTCCTGTTTCCAGCAAGAATTAACCCTCTGGGTATGAAAGCACAGGGAACAAAATCAGTTCATGCTAGTTTTACCATCATATCCTTACCTGTGAATAGGACAGCCATGGTGTGTGCCAAGTGACTGCTTTGGATGGGAAAGGTGTAAAATTATCGTTGGGTTGTTTTACATCCCCGAGGGGGGAGTCTTGGATTGAATCCTGTGGATTAAAGAGGACCAACAGCTGTTAATGATTGAGGAGGGCAGATAACCAGCTTAGGTCCTTTGTTCAAAGGTGTATTCTCTCTCTTGGACTGTAGCGTGTATTAACACATTTGGTAGTGGTTTGCACTTTGGGGAGTTTGAATCGAATTACCAACCTGATGAGGTAGATTCAGTACCTAACCCACCCATCCTTGTGACATTGAGCCGCAGTAGGTTAGCTCCTCCTCTTCTTCCTGTGCAGTTGGAATATTAATGCCTTCTAAAAATGTTCGCTGAGCTAATGCCTTTACGTAATACCCAGAAGACCACATTTACTTACCACTGTGCTGTCATTGTGACTTCTGTCTTCATTATGTCTCTGCAAGTCAACTTAGAAAACTGCACAGTAGTCAAGAAAGTTGCTTGTGGAGCATAGATAAGGGTACAGAAGGTGGACATTCTTAAGGAGTGTGTCTGTTGGGGAGGAGTAGCTGGGTACAGTAGTCAGCTGACGTACGGACAGACAGCATTCTCAGAATCTGCACATTCCACCAGCCCAAGCTGGGTATGGTCCACTGCTGTTGTTTCTCTATATCCATGAAGCTGCTTCTACTTTGTTGGTTACTTAAGTAGTAACAAAGGAATTATCCCAATAACCTTCATTGACTTTGCACTCAAGACATCTTTTGGGAAGTGATCTGTTTTATTTTCAGCGTAATTCTTTGGTTTCACATTCAGGAAGTGATTTTTTTTTAATCTAGTATTTTTGTGGTATCTGGATGGAATCCAGGACCCTTGCTTATCAGGCAAACATTCTAACTACTGAGCCACGCCCCCAGCCCAGGAAGCAAGGGTCCCAGGATGCACCGTGTCTGCCCATGAAGCACTTGGTGATAGAAAGTGATTCTGTCCCTTTGATGGAGAGACAGGAAAGCCTCCTCCTCCTCCTCTCAGTTGGTTTTGTTTTGTCTCTGGCGTAGGTATTGACATCCTGAAGCTGGTGGCAGCCCAGGTGGGAAGCCAGTGGAAGGATATCTATCAGTTTCTTTGCAATGCCAGCGAGAGGGAGGTGGCCGCTTTCTCCAATGGCTACACCGCGGACCACGAGCGGGCCTACGCGGCCCTGCAGCACTGGACCATCCGGGGGCCCGAGGCCAGCCTCGCCCAGCTCATCAGCGCCCTACGTCAGCACCGGCGCAACGACGTCGTGGAGAAGATCCGCGGGCTCATGGAAGACACCACCCAGGTAACGCCTCGTCACCGCTCCGTCTCGGATGCTTCGCAGTTCACCCGCTGTGTGGGTCGCAAGGAAAACTAGCTGTGGTAGCAGGTGTTTGAGGGCACACTCTCCAACCTTCCAGGGTAGGGGGTCTCGAACCATAGAACCATTACAACCATACAGGAACTTTTAAACAGTTTGGATGCTTGGGCCCCACTGCCCCTCAGTCAAATTAGAATCTCTAGGTGGAGAACTAGGAGTCATTGGGGTTTTGTTTTTTGGCAGTGTTGGGATTTGAACGAAGGGCCTTGCATTTGGAAGCTCTCCACGTGATTGTGACGTGCAGAGTTGAACATCATCTTGGTCTTTGGTGTAGCCTCTAGCATCAGGCAGTGCAGCCTCATCTACTTACTATCCCACTGTGTGCTCCTCCTCACCGCACACTCGAACTAAACCAAGAAGGAAGTCATCTCCTCCCCTCTCTTCCTTCTCCAGGGAATGCTCAGTGTTGTGCTCAGGGAATGCTCAGTTTGGGGGGTTCCCTCTCACCCCCCTCCTCTACTGCAGGGGAACAGGTGATACTCACATCTGGTGCTAACAGGCCTGGGCCTCCTCCTTGACAGTTCAATCCCATGTAACTGAGACGGGCACCCAGGGGTGTGAGTCCCATGCATTAGTGAGCCCTGACTCTGGGCCACAGACAGTCTGCACCTGACCGTCTCTAGTGCTTGCTCGCTGAGTGACGTCAAAGGTTACTTCACACCGACCCCCATTGACTCTGTTACCATATTTGTAAGCTTATTGTTAATGCTGTAAACACGGTGTACAGAATGTCTTCTACAAATGGTATTTGTGATCATTATGTAACTCCTGTTACTGAGCTGCTGTGTAATTACAGTAGACTTCTTTGCAAGGCCATGAATTAAGTACAGAATTGGGTATTGGATCAGAGTTTCTACAGACTTTGAATTTCAGATTTTGGGATGTTTCCCAAAATTAAAAAAAAAAAGTTGCCATTAGAACTTTATAAAACCCACTTGAGATTCAAAAGTTCATTGTCTTCTGTTAACTCCTTAAAAGAAGTAGGTGGAGTTGTTTTGTTTTTTTGACCATATCAACTCAATTTACTATCATTCTACACCAAAATTTGTATGTCAAGGGACTCAATATATAAGAAGTCAAATATCTGTAACTGTTTATACTAACAGAACAATAACATTCATCATTACCCACATACAATTATGTGGATAAAAATTTATGGGAGCTAGTTAACCTCAAAGGTGGTCTTTTAAAGTTCCTGGTATATTTTTAACATCTTTAAAATGTGTGATTTCAGGGAAAATGTTTACTAGTAGATATAAGCATGAAAAGGCACACATACCAACGTACATGTGAGTGTGTGTGTGTCTGTGTGTGAGAGAGAATTTTCTGAGAGGGGATTTCAATAAATGTGATACACAACTAAAGCTGAACTTGAAATATGTTCTGTAATTTACATAAAGGGAGTCCAGAGACACAGCATTACTGTTCTTTCTTGAAGTGGTGATTTTAAGGGAAGAACCGGACAAATGGCTGTAACCGAATTTATGTAGAATTAGATACTTAAACATAAATCACCGCATCTCCTTAATGATTGCCTGTAAAAAAGGTGATGTGTTTGATGCAACATGAGGGTTTGGTTAACTCAAGTCCATGGCAGAAGTCCTCTGGGAGAGGAGACTGCATACTAAGCAGAATAATTCACCCTATGAAAATCATAAGAAACAAATAAGAATGAACCTGAAAAGAAAGCACCTTTCCAGTTACCACACTTGTGCACACTCTTGCTCCTCCTCCTTTCTCCTCTGTAATACAGAAAGACCCTAATGGCAGCTATGGTTTTTATTAGCTATGTTTTGAGAACAGTGGTGTGGACATCCTGTAGCTTTCTGTTTGGTTCCTGTGGCCTGTGTGTTAATGATGGGTGCCTTCACCGTGTGTGAGTAGTGTGTACCAGTGTCTAACAACATTCTTAATCTAATTCTGACTCTTCATTTCACGCCCAGACTTCTGCCTGCCAGTTCTTATTAACTGCATGGTATGGAACTGTGTGTGTCCATGGTTTGTCTCTGAGACTGGGCAAGTCAAACAAGAGGATCAGAAAGCATGGGGGCAGAATTGAGAGCTATTTTCCCCATCATTCCATAGGTTAGGGCAGCCAGCGTTCTGAGGCTTTGCCTCTGGCTTAATGGACTCAGTGTGCAAAAATGATGCGATTTTCTTCCTTTCTCTTTGGAGTGCTTAGCCCTATGGTGCGGCTTTCAGTTACTTCTGTTCAGAGCAGCTGGGACATGAGTAGCACGGTGGCCATGTGCTGTTGATAATGGCTGGCTGTTTCGGGGAATTGAGGGACACTTTTCAGGCATTTCTTTTTACAAGGTGAATATTTAAATGGAACCCAAACTTCTGGAATCATATCTTTGCTTCCAAGGCATAAGCATTGGATAGAGGCAGCAACTTTCAAGTTAACCATATTTAAGTTATAATGCATGGCAGATAGTGGGATTTTTTGCTGAAGATGTTTTTAAAAATAAAATTCCCAAAACAACTGACACAGCATCCCGAACTGGGCATTACCTCTGTATCATTTTATTTTTATTTTTTGGTGTCTTTGAAGGTTGTCCCTCATCATGTGCAAATACGTAAGGTTTTCCTTAAACTTACTCAGACAGCTTCTGCCGCCTGACTAGAGAACTTCAATGTGTTGACAGTTTTTAATGTGCTCGCATGTATAGTTACATTTGAATCACCCGTATTAGCACTTGTTTTCTATTTGTGCAATAGTGTCTGTGTTTTTGCCTGGCTCAGCCTGGACAGTAGCTCTTCTGGTTACACTTCCCACACAGTTGGAGTGACAGGTGCCGTTATCATTCACACCTTTTTTCCCCCTTCTAGTTGGTTGCGATAGTCTCTAATCACAATCCTAATCTTTTGGGTATGGCTAGGATGATAGGCATGTGCCAGGGGCGCCTGGTAGAAGAATCTATATTTTTTAATGTTTTACTTTTGTTGTTGTGATGGATTCTACTTGGCTGTATTGGACTTTGCCCTCAGGGTTTTGTGGTTGGTAGGCAGATGTTCTACTGCTTGAATCATGATCTTGTCGCAGCCTCCCGAGTGGTGGAATCACGTGTGTGTACCACAGTACTGCCCATTGCCATTGCCATGGGTTTTAATGCTATAAATTTGATTCCCACCAGAGGCATGATCATTATTGTCTTTTTTTTTTATTGTAAAGTTGACAAACAGAGGGGTTACAGTTTCATAAGTCAGGTAATGAGTACAGTGCTTCTTGAACAGTGTCACCTCTTCCCTCATTTTTCTCCCATTGATTATTGTCTTTAAAGTTAAGATTTATGTAGCTTTCCTTGCATGCCGATATTTTATATTGCCTTTTATACCCTCCTGCTGCTTCAGCCTCTACCATTGCTCTTTTGCCTAAAGAGTATTTCTAAGAGCATCTGTCCAACAGTAAACTCTTGTTTGTCCAGAAAATACTAAACAAAACGAAATATGATTACTTACCATAGTTTTGAAGGCTAGCTAGGAATGGAAGTGGAAGCTGGCAGTTGTTTTCTTTCGGTCCTTTATGGCTTGGGTTCCTCTTGCTGGGCAGCCCAGGAGAGAGGACGGGCTTTCATTTTGAACTCTCTATTAGGTAACACACTATGGGCCAAATATTATGCCAGCCATGTTAACAATGCAAAGACGATCAACACTGCAGTCCAGGGCACTCGCAGACACATGGAGAGGACCCTTACACAGACTTACAACGAAGCCAGCCAGCCAGGAGGGCTGTAGGAGCAGGAGCCTGGAGAAGCACACCACGGGGGGAGTTCCTGCCCTGGGATGCAAACTCTGGAGGGGACTGAGCATGTCACATGACCTCATCCCCCACAAAGCAAGGCCAGTGAGGCGGGGCTGCGTGGGAAGGAAGGCCATACGACCCCACCCCACCCCCCGCACTCAGCACTCCCAGGATGTGTATTACTAGCTGCTCCAGAGGCAAAAGGGATGGAAGCACCTTCCTGAGGAGCTCCAACCCGTACGCACGCACGAGGGACCTTTGAAATCCTGAGCACTCGGGGTCCCCTCCTTCTGGGTGGGGGGGTTTCCCCTATCGGAGACTGCTGGAGGTCAAGTTGGAGGGTTGCTGTCTGCACCCAGTGCCCAAAGAACTGGAAACCCCAGCTCACTGTAAGTACTGACCTCTGCCTGCCTGAGTGAGAGTTCTTAGGCTGGTTGGAATGTTGTCTGCAGTGAGGACACAGGGTGTGTGGGTAAAGATAGTGTTCTGCTTTCCCGAGGCTTGAAGAGCATTGCTCCACAGAGCCTGCAGCTGTTCCCCCCTGCCTCTGTTGTGACTTCCAAGGGTTAACCAGTGCAGAGTTTTCTGTATACTTTCCCACCCCCTTTCCATTGGATGTAGCACAGGAGGGGGACTCCATTCTTCTTCCTAGGGAGCACTGGGCAGACCATTATTTTTAAGACTTCCTTTTCAGGGCGCATTAAGGGACAAGGCCCTTTACACTCTGTGAAATGGTTATCAGCACTAACTGAGGCAGTGACTTCTTCAACTAGGACACACCAGTTGGGATGTTAGAATGATTCCTAGTGGCTGGGTACTGAGTTGGGATGTTAGAGGGATTGCTAGAGGCTGGCTACTAAGTTGGGTTGATAGAGGGATTGCCAGTGGCTAGGTTCTGAGTTGGGTTGTTAGAGTGATTCCTAGTGGCTGGGTACTGAGTTTGGAAGTTAGAGGGATTGCCAGTGGCTGGGTACTGAGTTGGGTTATCAGAGGGATTGCCTGCCAGTGGCTGGGTTCTGAAGCCATCCTGGTTTGCATTCTGGGGCCCTTCAATGGTTTCTCTTTGAATGGAAAGGGAAAATAATTTTTGTACACTTAAAGAAATGCTAACTGTCTGGGTGTAGGGTACAGGTATATGATCCCAGCCAATCTAACACAGTTAGAAGAGAGACCTTGTCTC